TCTCCTGTCTCCTGGCTTAACTTCAGTAAAAAGACAAAGTTAGTACGAGAACTGAATTTCCAAATATAATAATATAGGGCAACGGTAATTACATTTCAAAAGCCCTCAAAGCTAGAAGAAAATGTAATGTTTATTATGAGCAAATTTAAACAATTCTGTTGCAATAAAAAAAGTCATGTATATTTTATCAGAATTCCTGTAGAAAAAATGATTGACCATTTTCTTTCTGATCCCTTACCACAGAGTCCCGTCACGGATCACTGCCCAAGATTAAAGAGTCAATTCTGACTTCTCTGGTTCCGTAGTTAGGGTGGTGGTGGTGTGTTTTTGAAGGCTTACAGTACTAAGAGTAAAAAAGGCTGAAAATAATTCAAAAATGGGAAAATGCAAAAATGCATTTTGATCATAATTGGAATTGCACTTTTAAGATTTGTCTGGAAAAACCTCTATGATCTTTGAACTTGATAAACAGATCCAAAACCTGCCTCCCTCCCCCAGAAGCGCAAGTCAAGATTATTTTTTTTTTTTTGGTCCAGCCTTCTGAGCCTAGGAGGTAGCAGTCTTAAGGTAATAGGTGATGGTCAATTATTATCCAAGAGCAGTTCCAATGCAAAAAGCCCTGCTTCCTTTTCTAGACTTACTGTTAACCAGAGACTGCTCTTACTGTGAATTCTCATGGTGTAACTTTCTCCCTGGCTCCAGCTTCTTTACAGGTCTGGATGGAACACACTGAAAAGAGGGATCTGCAAATTCTCTTAAAGGTATTGCAGATCCGTCACACTCCTTAGTTGTATCTGACTAACACTAAATAGTATTCAGTTTCCATAACATCCTTTTTGGAGACTTTTTCTGAAGAAGGTTCTCCAGCTCCTATGAGGAATGCACTACCCCTATATCACGCCTGTATGTCATCAAGTTCAACTGCATTTGAAAACAGAGGCCTCTGTGTTGCTGCATACCAGTTAACAGTAACATACTTGAGCTATCAAGTCCGTATCTCATTCACATATATTCTCCCCAGTACATGCCAAGTAAAATGGACAAATTGTACACCTCCTAGAAAAATTCTTTTGCCACCATTCAATGTAAGATTTTCCTTAATCTTCCCGGTCATTCTTATGGTCTATATATAAATCATTGTCACTTTCAAGAGAAAATTATTCAAAATGTCAATGGTAGACTTCTCCCATTTACAACAGAAGTTTATACAAACTATATTGGTTCCCAAATTCTTAATTTGATCTAATTTATAGGTCAGTTTCATATGAAAAAAGGGAAGGCTTCTGGGTGTTTCAAAACAACACTAACAACAAAAGCCAAATTTACACGACTAACAAAATGGTGCACTCAGAAATAAGTTACTATAGTAACATTTTCTGTAATAATTAACAGAAGAACTCTACAAATTCAACGACATTAAATGCTATTGGAAAAAAGTGTCAAGATACATAAGTAATATAAGTTATAAGCCAGGCAACAGACACCAATATAGTTAGTGCTCTGCACTTAAAGATAGAAGTCCATAAATAATTCAGCCATTTAACATCTAACTTGATAGACTACACTCAGGACTGAAAAATTCCTACACAGATGCTTACTGCCGCAATAGAAGAGCTAGCACAATATATTTACTTTTCTTCCTGAGGAACGGCATTTGTGTGCAATTAGACGAGATGTATTTTTCATATATCATAGGTCATAAATAAAAACTGCAATTGTAATTTAAGTATAAGACTCAGATTTCTAGTTTAATGTTCTACAGAGTTGCAGAGGACATAAGACTGTAATAAGTAAAACTCACAATTTAGGAATATAAGCATACAAGTATGGGAAAGCTACTGACTCTACTTAGCAGGAAGGGAAACTTATGCCAGACTAACTGCAACACATTTACACAGAGTAAATAACTTATTTGAATTAGCCTTTAACCTGAAAGTCTTACCACCACAGCAGTGGAGACAAAAATCTGTCATGTAGTCAAGTCTGTAGTAGCACAGATGCCAACATTCTAATTCTAAAATTTATATTCAGTTAAAAAAAAGCACCAAAGCTATAATCTCCATAATCTAGCTTGAATAAAAAACAGGTAAGCATAATGTAAGTGAAAAGTAGTTACCACTGACCAAAATGATTACTTATATTACCAACATGGGTAGGAAACCTGGTTTTAGGGCCAGGCCATCTCCTTAAGGTTGCCACAGAGTAAGCAACAAAAAGGTGATCAAACACGGAAAAATCTTCCATTCCAGGTTTAAGACAAGTGCATGATGAGTACAGATGGAGATACAAGGAAATCATGAAACTATAACTGGGTAGAGAATCTCAATACATCAACATCCCATCAGTTATCAGGTCTTGGAAAGCATCACGAAATGAAAGTTGTAAGGAAGACAAAATTAGCTCCTCCCAAACAAGAATGGCAGCATGAAAGAAACAGCGAAATGAGTATTTAAAAATTGAAGTAGGGTGATAAGATTGTCATGATGAGTCAGTTGTAGCTATGCATTAACATTCCAACAGCAAGGCATTCAACTGATGATGTTAAGTATCAGACTGCCTCTTATGTTATACTCAGTAAAGCATAAAAGCACTCTTAAACAAACCATATAGTGAACTTGCAGCCTGTTGAGGGAAAAAATATGTTGGTACAGCTCTATAAAAAAAGCTTACTGCTTCTGTACACAGCTAACAGTAGCCATGGTTTTATAAATTTTTTTTTCAGCATATAATGAATAAATGCCATAAAAACAGGCACTAGTATAAGAACAGACTTCATGTACTGAAACAATCAAAAAAATTGTATTGGTGCTTCCGTGAATGCTGTTAAGCCATCCTATACGCAGAGTGAGTAATCTAAAGTGTTCTTTCCTGTGCCACACAACTCAGATGACTAACACTAGGGAAAAAAAATAAAAATGTTTATGGTGTATGTGTTCACTTTACCATTATTTATTTTTCCATTTAACTCAAGCTTCCCACAGAAAAAATTTTTAGTCAGCCTAAGACTCTTATTTCCTTGTGTTTCAACTTGAGAAGATTTGGAAAAGCTTTTAAGTCAAATCTTTTGTATTCATCACCTGCATTTCAAAGAAAATTCTAATAACTAAAAATGCTTTCTAAATATGTTTTTGTTTTCTCCTGAATATATTTCCAACACTCTTATTGGAAATATAGCTTAAAATTTATCTGACATTTTAGATCCTCCTGAGCAGCACTGTCCTAATCATATCACAAAACAGAACTATCACCTAAATTTTTCCTTTTTTTAAATAAAATATTAAATATCAAAGCTTTCAGCCAAAAAAAGGTAAAAAAAAATTCTAATCAGCGTAAAAGTTGATGAAGAAGTACCAACTGCAATTAAGAGTTTCTTATACAAATAAAGAAAATATAAATTCAACAGTCTTCTCTCTTTCCCCTTCTCTCTCAAAAAACTCTGCAAAACAGAACAGAAACCCTGCAGCACATGACACGTGTGCTCTACTACAAACTCAAGCAAGTTGCATTATAGCATCAGTAGGTAGCTAACAAAAAAATAACACTTAGGCTTAAGGGAAAATACAAAACAAGGGATGTATGACAAAATTAAAGGTGGTCTTCATCATATGAATAATTTTGTAAACACCAGGTATTTTGAAAAACTGGCTCCTTACATAGTGAATGTCTTCTTTGAAGAATGTTAACAATGAAGGTCTTAACAGCAGGCTTCAAAGTAAAAATGTAAGCATGCAGTTTTCTCTCCTCCTGTGAATCTCTTTCATGTTATTACAGGCATTGCTGCCTGCCTGTTTCTACACTTCCTAGGACTATGAAAATATTATGTCCATATTTAATACTGTTCAACTAGGTATTAAAAAAATGTAATGCCGATAAGGCAGTGTTCTTGACTTAATTGTTTTATTGCTCAAGTGTCAATAAATGTAACAATGTCATTTTTGTGCTGGTTTTCTACGGTAAGACAGAAGTAGGCACAATTACCAAGTAACAAAAGCTTTTAAAAATTTCAATAAAATTTTGTGCTTGCAAAACCACTGAAATGCAAGTCATCTACTCCACCATGAACTAAAAACTTGCCTCACAGCACCAGTAATAAAGAAAACCTGAAATAATCAGAGAATCATTTTAAATAATTGCACTGCTTTCAAGCCACATCCTTAAAAAAAAAAAGGGCATGATCCTACTCATACCTACTCATCTTACTAAGCCCTGTTACCTATCTGAATAATCCTACTGCTTTTAAAAGTGATATCATTTGTTAATTCAGTCTTTGTTTTTTTAAAATGTACTACAAGTAGATTAAAAATGTTTCATGTATCTGAACCACTTCATCTTCCATGGTTGTATCTAAACTGATTTCATGACACTTTACCCTGTCTGTTGGCTGTGTTAACTACTAACCTTCCTGTCAAGGCAAAAAAGGTTTCTAATCCACAAGAGAAAGGAAGTACTGGAATAGCATTCCAATAGGCTGGTCTTTGCTAGTCCACACTTATTTGTCATGTTTGAAATGTTTACTAACAGGACTATACAAAATGACCACCCAGAAGAGTAAGGCACTGAATTCCGATACTGGAAATCTAAGCAATCCTTCGCACTGCAATTGCAGGCACCTTGCATGTACGCTGGGTAAATTTAATAGCAGCAGAACCCAGTGCAGGAGTTTGCAGAATCTATGAATAGAAACCAAGGAATAAATGGGTCCAGCAATGCTTTAATATGTTTTCTTAAATTCGTTGTATATTTTAAAAACAACACCTACAAGTTGTAACCACTCTTAGAGCTGGGAAGCAAGCCAGATTTTTGACCAGGAAATAAAGCTTGTTGCCGTTGTGGTCCTGAAAGATAGTTTGTTTCTCCATCACCTGGAGAAGGCAAAATAGCTTTTACATTTATAGAATTGAATTCCACTGTTTTTAATGGGGTTGTTACATATGCACACAATTAATAAACTAAAAGAATCTATTCCTTTTGAACGCATAAACAGAAGTAATTATTTTTACCAGATCCCAGTCTATGCTGCGGAAAAATGTATGAGACTTGATATCAGAAAATCCTGTCTGCGGCTGACAACCAAGCCTTTCTTTGGGATCCTGCAGAAAACACAGAAACTCACATTACATACTCTAAGCCAGTCATAGTGCATGTTTGTCAAAAGTCCACATACAAGACTTCAGCATTCCCTAGTACCATGCAAACCACTGCTCAGACAAACATATCATGGCTATCAAGGGAATTTCGTTCTTTTTTTTTCATGAAGTTTGTTTGAAATTTCATTATAAATATTTTACAACTTCTTAAAATAAAAACAATATACATTTATTTAGTAATGTATTAATTCATGTCCCTCTTTTATCCATTAAAAATTATAATCGCTCTATGGATTCAATCAGTTTAGTAAGTAACAATTACCACAGAAAAGAGTTTATATAGTTACTTTTTTCACGAAGGTGCAGGCTTTTAAATCAAGCCTGTGCTGTGGAATTCCCTCAGTAAATTAGTAACTAAGAAGTGGGGTTTTTTAACATAGAGGACACCAAGGTTTTATAGATTTTCTTAATAGTAAGCAGATTAACTTCTTAACTGTATTGCTTTCAACAGGAAGCTCTGACTTCCAGATCTTAGATGCTAAAAATAAGAGAATGTTACTTACCTTGTTTAAAAATCCTTTTAACACATGGGAAGCCTTGACAGAAAGAAACCTTGGAATCCGGATTGGCTTCTCAAGGATAACTGTTACAGGTTTAAAAACAGCAATATTGGTTTTCGTTTTATGACACTGACCATGATTTCAATACAAACATTGTGTTACTTAATATGTTACTATTTGGAAAATGGGAAGATACAGTAATTATTTAAAATAATGCAAGCAAAAGGAGCTACAGTAATTCAAGGCACTGTTATACTGACATTTCAAGATCTCCTAAAAGAAACCTTGGCTTCATTACATTTCTCTATTGTTTGTAGTACAAACAGGGAATAAAACTTTTTCAGTGTCCTCAGTATATGGAAAAATGTGATTTTTAAACAGTAATTGATTTAATATTAGGCCTGTCAAGACGACCATGGCAGACTCCGTTACATAATTGCAGTAACTAGTTTAAAGAATGGTTCTGCATATTAGGGAGCAGGTAACTTCGCAATTCCCTAAACCGTTAAGAGTTTCTGGTGTAATAAATACGGTAGGTATTACTACTTTTATTTAGAAATATTCATACTTCACTACTCCTGAAGGGTAAAACTGTTTTAAAAAAGTTATATTAATTTCATCAGAAGTAAAAAAAAAAAAAAAAGGAGTTATCTAGACCAAAACTACACGCTGATATATTTCTGTCAAGAAAGATCCTTCTATCCTCTCATGTAACACTGAATTTTAAAATTTATTCTTAGCCTATGGACTTCCTTCTAATAAAGATACCATTCCATACAATTTCTGTCTTATTTCTGAACTGTGGACATTTTAAAAAAATATTATCTGAAGAAGGTTTCCTAAATTCCAGGCTGTTTTATTTGAGTTCACTAAGATAAATTCCTGCTATGATGAACTGGATATATTGTGGCCCTTTATCTACAGTAGATCTACACACAGCTATGAAATAATAATGGAAAACGAAAACCTAGCTGTCCTGCTGGAATTGCCAGTTTTCATTACGTCTCCCCCAAGAATGAAAAAAAAAATCAAAACAACTATACCTTGGAAGAGGTAATCTTCAGTGTTCATGTCTGGATTGTCAGTAATAATATCAAACGGAGACCTTCCTGCCATCATTTCAAACATCAACACACCGAGAGCCCACCAGTCCACACTGAACCCTGTAAATAGTCGCAGAGCAGATTTTCAACCAGGATACCTTGAATTTAGGTATTACCTCTCATATAAATGAACATTAATGGCCTGGTTCTACAAAGTACTGAAATTTTATATTTTCACTGAAGCCATAGACATCATGACTTCCACCATCACTGAATGAGACTTGAGAGAGTTTTCTGAATTGGGATTACAAATGTAATCTATATAGGAGTTTGCAGATGTCTGCCAGACAGCAATGCTCCAATGAAAACTCAGTGTATTTAAGCTGAAAAGTTTCAGGTTTTTTTGTTTTGTGTGTGTTTGAGGTTGGTTTGGGTTTTTTTGTGGGTGGTTTTTGGGTTTTTTTTCTTCTTGTATTTTGTTTGTTTGGGTTTTTTTTAAGAAGTTGAACATTTAAGTATCTTATAACTAAATGACAGATTCAACCTATTGGTGAGAGTCCACAAATAACAACATTGGTTAAAAAGACTATTATACTTCCGCATGAGCAATAACTTTGTTATAGCATTCTATAACCTTGTCTGGAAGGCAATAGTAGCTGGGATGTCAAGTTCTTCAAGGAGTGGACTTGGTTTTGCTACAGTATCATTTAATAGTTATTTTACAGGCAAAGTATGATTTAAAAGAAGCTGAAATGAGTGATCGCAAGAGAAAAACAAAAATAACCTTATTTCAGAAATATTCAATATATAATGGCAAAAAACCATGGAGATCTAAAAATAATTGTATTTGAACCAACCTACAACTAGAACTTTGCATTGCGATTTATAGTAACTACAAATTGTTTAGTCATAGCTTACCATATTCTTCTCCTCTGAGGATCTCTGGTGCAATATAATTTGGTGTCCCACAGAAAGTGCTTGTAGTGTCACCAGGGCCCAAACCTTCCTATAAACATAAGTCATTTCATAAATTAAAAGTTGACCTCCTTTTCCAGGAATTTCCCTCAATTAGACTTATAAAGCCAAGTTACTTAGGGAGTCTAAAGATCTGCCTTTCAAAAAAGGCAAAGCTAAAAATAAATATTCATAGTGCTCAAAACTGGCTTATGACTTTACAGCTTATCTTCAGCAAATTAATTGATTAAAACAATTAACAACACATTTGCAACAATATTTTGCTTACTATTTACAGATACATTTAAAAAAAAAAGTCAGATCAAAACCAATTTGGAAGTCCTTTTCAAATGGATGTTGGGAAGAAGCCACCTATTTTTAGGAATGAAAGAATCAATCTTCACATAACTGCTGCATTCCAAATGAAGCCTCACAACCTGTGCACTTCCACAGTGGAGAAACATTCTAGTCCAGCATTCTTAGAACTTGGTGCGACACCTATTCTATGGAGGGAACAAGACAAGCTTTCCTCATTACATCCCCATAACATGCCTTAACTATGTTCTGAAATAAGCTAAATAAAAGTTAGTGTTATATACTCAATCCTTGGACTTTTAAAAAATCAACACAATGCCAGTTGCATTTTTGGCTTCAGAAGCTTATTCTCACCGAGAAACAGACTGGACTCTACTCATTTCACATGCTAGCCAGAAACAGTCTGGCAGTAACAAGGAGACTTGAGGTCAAATCAATAGCTCTAAGGAGACAGCAGAATTCTTGACAGATTACGACCACTTCAGTCATGTCTGGCATTCCAACTTTACATACTTAAGTTTTATATTTAGTATTTTCTGTACTCATATTTTCTATTGACGTTTTCTTGCTTTCCTCTGCATCACGTTAAGTACATGCTACACTTTACCAGGTGCTTTGAAAGCAATGCTCTCTAAATTGCCTCTCAGCGCCAAAGATTGCAGTGTAAGAACTAGCATACTAGAGAGCCCCTGTTGGTTAGTAATTTCTACAGGCCAACCACAGAGAACGATGAATGCAATTCATATTCACAGGAGCACAGTTACAAAGAAATGGAAAAGATCCCTTTTAAAACATACTTGTCTTAAAGATCAATTTTCTAACTTGGGTCACGTAGGAACTTAAATAGATAAATTAACTTGGTCAATAGGCCAAGCTTCTTCTGTCCCCTCAAATGATTCACATAACTTGAAACGCACAAAGGAAAAAAATTACAAATGTGGTTCTATTCTTCAGCAGTCATTTCTCAGAATAAAGTTCCTATTCCACAACCAAATTCTGGGCTCAGTAACACTAGAGCTAAGAAAAGGGTACGTTTTCTCAGTTTTCTCTTAGTGTCACTGGATACGGTATTTGACTTAAAAGCATAACCAGAGAGATACAGTACTGAATGACAAAGTGGCAAAGGAAAGGCAAGAAAAATCCTACCTTGCACATGCCATAATCTGTTAATTTGATATGACCCTCTGCATCTAGAAGAACATTGTCTAGTTTTAAATCTCTGTAGATTATGCCTCTTTCATGTAGGAAGTTTAGAGCAATACAAATTTCAGCAGCATAAAACCTGACATTAAAAAGGAGAAAATTCTTATTAGCATTAAGATGGCACAAAAGCTGGTGCAATTTTAAAAAAATCTGTTCTTAAAACATCACTTTACACTCAGTTTTTATCTATCAACAGCATACCAAAACCAAGCTGTATTTATTCATAAAGACACTGATCTCATATTGTAAAACTATTCCTTAAATTAAATATGGGAAATTATTTTTTTCATTCTACTAATTAAGACAGTTATTAAGAAATTAAGAAAATGACTAATACTAATTAAGAAAATTATTCTTTATCCTACAGAATTTTCTGAAAATTCCAAGTATGACATAGGAGATCTGTATTTTCACCTTATTAAGAGTTACAATGAGACTTTGTGTAGTACAAAGCCATGCAAAATAGACTTTTTGTCTTCTCCTACCAACATTGTACTAGCTCAAATAAGACCAAAATAAGTAGAATAGTTACACCTGCTATCAACAGATCAAAGAAGCATTACCAAAATATGAAGCAATAAACAAAAGTAAATAGGAATAACTGTTACTACTTATCAAATGCTTATTTTCTTAAAAAACTGCAACATATCCTTAAAAAAAAAAAACACAAAACAAAACAAACATACCTTCCCAGGGCAGTACCTTCTAAATTTAAGAATCAACTTTTTGTTCTTTCTTTGCTATTCATATTCTTTTATGGAATAAAATTTGGAAAGCGTTTCATATATTAAGCAACTACAACACACGAAAACCACTACAACTGTGTTAGTAAAATACCTTGCGTGTTCTTCAGGAAGTTTCCTTTGCCGTTGCATATGAAACATAAGATCTCCCCCATTTACATACTCTATGACAAGAAACAATCTGAAAGTATATAATACAATTAATGGATTCCAAGGAGATTCTCAAGAAAAACTACTCTTATCCTTCCAATTTCAGCCATTTTCACTTCCAATCTTGAATTAGACTTCTAGATTTCTTACAGTTACAGAAACTATTTAAAAGAGGAAAAAAAAAGAATACTTATAATGATCCAGATTATGTAGGATCACAATCTTCATTTAAATGCCAAACTAAATGTAAAGGAGAGGCAGCTGCCTACAACAGGCTACTATTTGATGTGAAACCTGCAGGACTGTTTAAACAATACAGAAGACAACAGCATTTGCCTAATATAATGAGGTACTTGGTGACAGACGTAAAAAAAAACCCAAACCCAACCCCTAAGCATATAATGATATATTGACTTCTTTAAAAATTACTTACAAATAATAGCAAAATCATGGAAGTATGTTAGAAGATGACACATGGCAAAAATGAAAGTTTATCCAAAAAAGTTAAAATTGTCATGGATTTGAAAAAGACATAATAACAACAACAACATAGTTACATGACTATCTCTTATTCAAAGATGTTGAGTCTTTTGACTTTTATGGAATAAAACTCCACAGTATAAAATTTGCTCAGTGAGTGCACTGCTTTGAATAACATCTGATTGACTGAAAAAAATAAGCCTGCCTGAAAGCAAGCTGATTATTTAAAATAAAGGTTTTAAGATTAAAAAAAACTCTTCAAAAGATGCATCAATTTAAATTCAAACCTTTCATATTAAATCTGACACAGATTTACCCTGATGTAATAATTATTAAACTGTTACTCTGCTTAACTAAATATTTTTCTTTTAATAGCGAAGCTGCGGCATCAAATCTGAAGAGATTTGTAGATGAAATGTAGTTTATACAGACCTAAGTCAACAAGGTTTCTGCATAGGTAAAATGTGAAAATTCTCATTTTTATTTTTGATATAGTTTTGCCACTAAAAGGTCATCATCTTTTAAAAATTATTTCATCATTAACAATAACTAATGAGTATCTGGCAATATTAGAGATCAGTATGTTTTGTAGGATTTGTGATATTAATTAAATATATACCTACAAAGCTTGCTATTTGTGCTGGTTCAGTTCCTGAAAAGCTCAAACAGATCTACTGAAAGCAAGATGCCATAGGACTCACTTAGAGGAATGTAACCCAAATTTAGTTTCAAAAAAAAAAAAGAGTAAGTTTCATCTGAATAGCATGATACAATCTTTTTCCCAATTAAAGTTACATGATCTAGCATATTATTAATATACACATACAAAATTATTTCTATTAAACCCTATGATCACCACTGAACTCTTCCTGATGCAGTTAATAAACATACTGTCATTCCTAGAAGAAAAAGATTAAAAAAATATTTCTATTAATATAGATAGACTGAGACTAAAGACTGAGAGGACTGAGAGACTCGATTCACATATGTCCATTATTTGTCAGAGATGACAACTAAATTTGGTGAGCTAGCAGGACAGATACTGACCTCCCACCCTCCCTTGACTTTGTCAAGACCTTTATCCATGGGAAAATGTGACGTAAAAGAAAGCGTGATGGACCCACTTCTGTTACTCTCTATCCAGCATATTCACTAAATGGAAGATGTGAGCACAGAAAGGCTGCAGTGTCAAGGCTTATTAGTTCCTCTGTAGAACACATTTTTTTAAATGGTCTTCTCAAAACAAACAAGAGAAAAGTCAGCAGGGAAAAGAAATATAGGTGGAATCAGTCATATAAAAAGACTTCTATTACAGTTTGCAGGAAAGGTTTCAAACTTGTGGAAAATACGACCCATGCAACACTGCCAAGGTCAGAGACACCTATGGGATAGAAACATGCTGAGTGCGAGTTTCTTATGAAGGTTACGGCTGTCCCAGGAGGCAGTCCTTCCTTACACACCTAATTTTCCATGAGTCAAAAACTCCTTTCCATATATCCACACACTGGAAAACATTCCATTTGGAAAACACATGCTCCAGTCTCAGACCATTCTAACTGGTAACAAGAAGTTTGTTGGTTTTTTCTCCTTTGAAAAGGATTCTTCATTTGAAACACTTAAAGTATTAAAAGCTTAAAAGGTAAACCAGGAAAAGTTATTGGGACAAAACCCACCTTGCAAGTCTTTCAGTGGCCTCACAAGAATATAAACACTAAACTAAAAGTAAATAAACAATAAAATAGATAACAAATGTCATGACTATTTATTACAGCATTCTTGGTATTTTTTGCTTCCAACTTCCTATCCTATTTAGAAGCTTCCAATGTTTTATCACCATCCAGAACCTGCAATTTAAAGTTCCTTGTGTCAAGTCATGTTCAAGCATGTGTGTGAATACTGGCAGTTCTTGATTTTTTTAGAAGGATTTACTCAAACCCCAATGGTTTTGCAGTACGGAGGTTTCAGATTGTTGCCATCCTTGGAAGACACTTAGATGGCAACTCTGGCCCCAAGCCCAAGACACATATTTTATTACAACAATAAAACAAGCATCACTAGCATCTGAAACAACGTGAACAGGTACATGTAGCATCAACTAGCATCTTTAAGTATCTGAACAGCTACATGTAGCATCAACTAGCATCTTTAAGTACACGTTTCTTTTATCCTAAAATTTTATTTAAAGTTATACTTCAGAGAAAGAACATGTTCTTTTGCAACTTCCCCCTCCGCCATTAGTACACTTCGACATAAACTGTTCTCATATTACAAATGGTTTTCTTTGGGCCAGTTAACTCAATCTGATGTTCATGAATTTATTCACTTGAAATCAGTTTCGTGTTTCTCTTTGTTCCTGTAATGAGGTCGTAATTGTCATTTTGTAACATTACAGCTATAACAAAATCGTGAATTCATGACATTATGGCTATCCACGACAAAAAACTGAAGTAATACACAAAAAACTATAGTTTCACTGCAAGGAGAAGCTAGGCTGGAAAAACAGGACTCCTAAAGATACAACAGGAATACAGAAAGCTTTGACTATGTTCAGCACGTTTTTTTTCTATTTCTGCTCCTCAACTATGTCAGCGTAATTACCAAAGTGGCATACAAAGGATCTTTCTATTGCTGACTTCAGCCTTTTTCTTGTTTCCAAAATATGTAAGAAACCTCATTCTCAATACTTCACCCTGCCCAACCACTTGAATTTTTACACTAGATATTCAATACTACCTAGTATTTGGTGAGAAGGTGTTCGTGAACGTTGGTTTAACTTAAAGGGCCTTGCACAACAGTTTGTTAGCTGTCTAAAGATTTTTATTTGTTTTTCTGTCTGCAAGACAAATTTCTTTTGGTCAAATCCTTCCTCAGTCATCTTCAGAGATCATTCTTTCTCACTGCTCCAAAATATTCCCTAGTCCATGTAGCTTCAGAATACTCTTCATACAGCTTCTTTACTTCCTTCATCTTAGCTATGTTTTCCCTGCTAGTAAAATGCTATTACCTAGGACTATAACCATTAAGAGGCTGAACACTTGGGGACTGAAAAAAATGGTACAGTGCATGGCTTCGTATTTTAAAAGCTGATAATACACATTGTAATGAACAGGTGATTATTCTTAAGGATAAATGACTAGATAATCCACAAAAACTTCTTAGAACTGTTGGCACTCTACTCTGCATGCCAATCAAGCAAGCCAGACAGAATGACTTTTATCTTCTGCACCAGGCATTATAAAAATGTAAAAGTAAACAGGTACCTGTGAAAACAAAAAAAATTCAAACCATAAACTCCCACACATCTGAATTCCCCAGTGACATACAAAAGCATGGGCATGAAAGTTCTTCTTGATTTTCTTCATATTCCAATTGCAAAACAAGAAGTAGTCCACTTCAAATTGTGCACACAAGGACAAAAAAATTAGTATTTCAAAGTAGTTAAGAGTTTATTAAGCACATTTTCAAATAAAAAATCACATGCTTCAGTATGTCCTAAGGGCTCATAAGGCTCATAGGTAAAACCCACTTCATACACATGTAGGTTTTTAAGTTATTATTAAAAACTACTATTACTGAGTATCCCAACTCTTACATTTTGAAGAACAGAGAACTACAGTTTGGCCCTCTGAGAACTGATTCAGCCCTCCTCAGTAGAATCAGGTATTATAAACTCTCTCTTACAACACTCTCTTTCACCCCGCTACCACCCTCTTATTCCTGAAGCGACATGGCCTGTGCTCACGAAGACAGCGCACAGTTCCTCCTCTTTCTCATTCATCTTCTCCCTTCAGATCCGGACCTGGAAAACCCTGCCTTTTTCTCCACACCACAATGGCTAAGCTATGCTGCTAGAACTGGCTTTGTTGTAGTAGTGAAATCCCTGATGATACTAATGCTTCCTTCCAAAAATTACTGACTATGCGATGGCAGTGGTTATGTTTGCTTTATGAGAAGCAGTTAGTACAATGATCAAAATTTTCAAAACAAAGTAATTTCAGATCTTTCTTACCGACTTGTTGTTTGAAAGCATGAATGTAAACCAACTAGGAATGGGTTACTGGATGCCTGTTCAAACACATGTTTCTCTGTCTGTACCCAATCAATATCCTGAAATAGAGTAATTGAACAATCAGAACTCCTGCTGGATAACCACTGTGGGCATTCCCAGAAAAGAAACTGTGAACATCTATGCTCCCTTACATACACCGTCATTGTTACATACATTCTTCAGAAAGACAAAACCCCCTAAAATCTGGAGGAAGTTATAGAACATTTTAATTCAATTATATATTCAGAAGTTTCTTAACCATTTAGAAAGGTCTGCACAAAATTTAAGCCATTTAAAAATATTATACATCTGCAATATTTGATACACTGCTCATACTGCTTCATAGAGATAAATTCGATTATCTTAGATAAATCATCCTAAGGCTGCTGAAGCAACTCATGCCAGTAACACAAGCAATGTGAATCTCCAGTTTTTAAAAGGTTCAAATAAACTGAACTTCATTTTCTCATCTGAAACTCAAAGTGAATTCAATGAAACTACCAAAACCCAATTAGTTTGTCCAACCAAAATCATTCTTAGAAGTATCACAGGCCACCTTTAATACTTCAACAGGGAGAAGTCCTGAACACCCGCTGCAATACCATACAATAAAAACCTATCAAAATTTGAATTATACTAGCACAGTACTGCAAAATTCAGATCCGTAATAACAAAGCATTTAATCATTTTTCATATAACCATGCAAAATTTAAACCTTATAGACAACTGGTTATAGCAGTAGATATTCACTCTTCATGCAAGACACTGATCATGTTCCACCCCACAGACACTCAGTACTCTGCCAATAAACTAGAAATATAATTGTTCTAAAAATTCTCCATTTCCGACAGATACTTCCAGCTTTCCAACCAATCTGGAGACAATAGAGACAGACACTGAGAAACCAGGCCTTCCTGTCAAGGACAGTTAGTGAAACTGAAGACTCAACGGAAATCAGGAAATGTCACCATCAAATTCATCTGCTAGGTTTTGTGTTCAGATGCTCCTGAAGATATAACACCTTGGAAGGGTAAACCTGGGTCCAAATATGAGCCAAAAATCCAGTTTTGAATAAAACAATAAACATGTCCAGTTCTTTTTGTTTTTACTGAATGTGCTTCTCTAACAGTCTTTAAACTAACCTCTTCATTATTGCACTTGTGTACTAGTACATTAGTAGTATACTAGTGCACTACTGTTAACAAGATTAAGCTTACAAAAATCAAATAGCAGAAGCCCAGGTATTTGATTTGCTTCAATCTCATTTAGAAAAAATCTTTACTTCTCTCCAATATCAACCATTACCTGGAAAGCAGTATCCGATTTAAACATACTGATACTTGCCATGTAATTAATTTTCTTTCTCCATGAAACACTTACTAGGTGTAATCTCCATTATTTGCAATATCTCATGCATTCACATAATTCAGTGCATTTCCTACCAATTCCCAGAATTTCATTAAACAGCCTATCTTATAGAAAAGAAAAACCAATTAGCTCAATCTTCTATGTAATTATCTATGAGAGCCACTATTCAAGAAGGACTTTTCTCATCTACCTCTCATTCTCAGGAACAACTGCATAACTCATTAAAGAATGCTGTTCTTTAGCTTTACCTTCTTGGAAAAAAGACGTGTAAAAGGGAACAGTAAATAAACCACAGAACAGTCTAATCTTCGGTCATAAAAGAAACATCAAATAAATGAGTAAGCCAAAGTATTTTAGAATAACTTTACTCTCCTAACCCTAGCCTCTGGAATAACGACAAAAAATGGCATTCAGAGAAACTGACTGAAACTACCAACGTAAATAGTATTTAAAACAATGTGTTTCGGTGTTGTGTCCGTTCCCCCCCAACATCCTACTTTCAAGAAATCCACTCTTCCTAACAGTATAAAATTAATATACCATTATCACTGGAATAATGACAAAAAATGGCATTCAGAGAAATTGATTGAAACTACCAACGCAAATAGTATTTAAAACAAAGTGTTTTGGTGTTGTGTCCGTCCCCCCCCCAACATCCTACTTTCAAGAAATCCACTCTTCCTAACAGTATAAAATTAATATACCATTATCATCTTAAAAATTGCACTCTTTTCAAAAAATTCACTTTCTATTGTAAGAACAGCTATACAAGAAATTCCCTACGAGGTGAGACTGATTGTCCACCTCTTCTATTTTATTAGAGTTTGAGATTCCATCCACAAGGATGACACAGTACTTCTTTACTCTTCAAATATTTAACAGTGTCATACCTTATGTATCCCATCATACACACTGCCACTCCTGCAAAAGCACGTCACACTGCAGTGTTCCAATAAGGCTGGCAGCCTGACAACACTTGTTATCCTTCTGTCAGGTGTCTCAGCTGTTTTATCAGGGCTGTGGTCTGACCACATGCGTCCCAGTTACCCCATCCCCTGTTCCATTATTTAACACAGCAGTTTCCAGTCTAATGGCATTGTAGGTGGTTCAAATTTGCCTTCCTTGCTTGCTGTGATTGGTTCATCACATTTATGAAAAAAAATAGAATGGATATAAAATCTACACCTTCCAAGAAATGTGAATGTTACAGGAAAAAGATGAAGAGTTGGTTGGGCTTTTTTCTTGTCACACCCCCCCCCCCCAAACT